GAACTATGGGTAAGTATCAAGTGAAGAACTATGGGTAAGTATCAAGTCACTATAATGTGGTTAGTTTTTAGGGGCGAAGCTTATAGTTAGTATGCATGAAAAAGAATATTATCTGTTAGGAACTTGGAATCTTGTCATTTATGCAACTTTGGCATCCGGTGTATATAATTCACTTCCTAGAAAGAGACTGAGTTATAGGAGCTGCGGTCTAATTCATCTAAAGCTGCTAGCTCAGGAAAACGTGCTTGACAAAACATCCTTCAAGGTAAGCATTAATATTGATTTACATTTTGGTGGGTCTTTATCTTGCCCTGCATCAGGAATGAAAGTTGGTGTTAAATAGCACCCCCTTCTTCTCTCCTTCTAGTCTGCATGTGTATTTTTTTTTCACGGTCCTCAGCAGTCTTGAGTGGATGTGGTTCAGGAAAGCAGCTTTAAATATTTATATTTAAAGAGCTGAAACTTCTTCTGGATCAGGAGGCTCTGTTTACAGTCATTTGGGCCTTACTCTAGGTCAGACTGCTACAATGCATTCTACACGGGGCTACCTTTGAAAGGCATTCGGAAATGAAAACCGTCTAGAATCATGGATGCTCCTTGTTGCAACCATATAACACTACTACTTTGGGAACTATACTGGTTAATAGCCAGCTTCTAGGTACAATTCAATATGATAGCTATCATGTTTAAAGTGCACTAGTGAGGACAAGCTTGGAATGGTGCATGCAATTCTGGACACTGTGATACAAAACAGACAATGATACCCTAGAAAGAGTGCAGAGAAGAGCAACCAAGGGGATGAGGGCACTGGAGGCTAAAACATACAATGAATGGTTGCAGGAACTGGGCATGGGTAGTCTAGGGAAGAGAAGGACCAGGGGAGACATGAGAGCAGTGTTCCAAAATTTGAGGGGCTGGCACAGAGAGGAGGGGGTCAATCTATTTTCCAAAGCACCCGAAGGCCAGACAAGGAATAATGGGTGGAAGCTGATCAAGGAGAGATTCAACCTAGAAATAAGGGGAAACTTTCTGACAGTGAGAACAATCAACGAATGGGACAGCTTGCCCTCAGAAGTTGTGGGAGCTTCATCACTGGAAGCTTTCAAGAAGAGACTGGACTGCCGTCTGTCAGAAATGGTGTAGGGTCTCCTGCTTGGGTGGGGGGTTGGACTAGATGACCTACAAGGTCCCTTCCAACTCTGTTAATGATCAAGGGCCTGGAGGCTAAACCAGATGATGAATGATTGAAGGAACGAGGTATGCCTAGTTTAACAGAGTGAAAGATTAGGATGGACATGATAATTGTTTTCCGTTACCTAGGGGGGCTGTCATAGAGAAGAAGCGATTGACTTATTCTCCAAAGCAGTAGAGGGTAGAAGTAATGAGTAGAAGCTTTTTAAAGAGAGATCCAACTTAGAATTAAGAACTTTTCTGACAGGGAGAACAATTAACCTATGAAACAGCTTTCCTCCTGGAGATGTGGGTGCTCCATCACTGGAGGTTTTCAAAAATAGACCAGGCTACCATTTGCCTGAGATGGTATGAAGTTTCCTGCAGGATCTAATCTGGGTTGGCCAGTTTCCTGCCTTAAACAGGAGGCTGGATTTCTGAAGTCGCTTCCAACCCTACGATTCTATGTTTTCAAAGTAAGGGGTGGAGAACAATGGCCTTTTTATGATTTGTGGACCATGCTGGCTCAGGAATTCTGGGAGTTGAAGCCCACAAGTCATAAAGGGTTGGTGATTCTCCACCTTTCTTCTAAAGTTTAGCGTGGTTCAGAGTTTTCTTCCCATAACATTTACTGGCCTAATCAGGTCAAACAGGGTTCCCTTTGTGTTCCGTGAGCACCGTCTACAGAAGCCACAGATTCACACATTCTTGATTACTGTCCACCAGCAACCTATGGCCATTTGAATGTCTCCTTCCCCGTTGGCATTCAGAAAGTCTGTACAGGTAGTCCTCAACTTAAGATCCACAAGGGAGCCCAAAATTCCTGTTGTTAGGTGAGACATTGTGTTAAGTGAGTTTTGCCACAGTTGTTAAGTGTGCGTTGTGGTTTGCCAGCAGCCTGTGCAGACGGCATCAGAATCGGACAGTGAGGAAGAACGAGGACCAGTCCGGGAGTCTGGAGAGGACTCAGACGAGGGTCCTGCATCTGATACAGAGATTGGGCCAGGACCATCTGGGAGTGGGGTGCTGACTCCAGAGCCTCTGGAGCCTGGCAGCAGCGAGGCAGAGGAACAAGGGGAGCCTGTTCCCAGTACCCATGTGCACAGAGCTGCTAGAAGGCAACAGCAGCTGAGATAAAAGGGGCAACTTGGGAGTAAGGCTTGGAGGTGATTGCCCCTCCCATAAGGGATAAAAGATAGGCAAAGGTGAAGAAACCTTTGCAGGAAGCAAAGTCGTTCGTTCTGTTCAGATTAATCCTTGAAGCTCTGTGTGGACTTTGTACTTTGGTTGATTTTTTATAATTCATTTGGCACTCTAGTTGTTGGCAGCAGTTCAAAGGAAAGAAAGATGGGTGCTTATCTCGAGGGAGTGCTTGGGATTCATTACAGGCTGGGAATGAACATAATTCCCAGCGTTGCAATAAAACAAGTTGTTTTAACTAAGCATGCGCTTAATTATGGTCTCGGGAAGGCTTGGTCAGAACCCTGTCCAAGAAATTAACACAGTTGATAAGTTAGTGTCAACTGCAGTTGATAAGTTAGTAACCAAGTTGTTAAGTGAATCTGGCTTCCCCATTGACTTTGCTTGTCAGAAGACCACAAAAGATGATTTCATGACCCTAGGACACAGCAACAGTCGTAATAAATACAAACCTGTTGCCAAGTATGTGAATTTTGATCACATGATTGTGTAGATGCTGCAAAGTTTGTAACTATAAGGTCGTAACTACAAAGGTTGGACATAAGTCATTTTTTTCAGTGTCCTTGCATCTTTGAACGGTCACTAAATGAACTGTTGTAAGTCAAGGACTAACTGTAAAGTCTTCAGATAACCTGGGGGTGGGGATGGTTTGAAAGAGATGTTTATCCCTCCAGTTATGCGAACAGTTTTAATGGGAGTGAGCTGGAAATACTGGCAGAACCTTATGTTGCCATTTTTAAAAAATATTTTTTTATTTTTAAATTCTGTTTTGTTTTCACCCAAACTAAGGAGGCAGTATTGTGCTCTGCTCATAGTTAGTTATGACTCAGCAGCCAAATTGTGCTGCAAAATAAATAACAATGTTTCAAATAAAGTTTAACAACCCCATTTGTAAACTAAAAGGACTCATTTTATCAGAGCACAGGGATACATGTATCCGCAGGGAATTAATACATGTTAGAGCTGCATTTCTCAAGGCTGAAAACTTCAAAATGTGTGGACTTCAACTCTCAGAATCCCCTAGCCAGCAGAGAATAGAGTGTGTTTGTATGCTTAGACTTTATTTATTTATTGTATTTATTTGATTTGTCAATTGCTTACAAGATACAGGTATAAGAATAAACATAGTTTTGAATATGTAAGATGGATACTTATAAGAAACTTCTCAGAATTGGGGTTCAGAATAAGGAGAAGAGAGAGAAAAATGAAACAAGAGAATTATGTGGTAATTCAAACCTTATGTAGCCACAGGGGAAGGTGGCCAGATTCACTCTGAGAAAGCTGCTTCTGTTGAACTGCAGCCCAGCAATAGGAGTCCACATACGCAGCCTGGCGCCAAGAAAAGGCACTTGGAGAAAAACAGCTCATCTGCGTGCCTAAGAAACAAAGCAGAAGGCATCAGGGTGGATAAAAATCGATGATTTTTTTAAAATAGATTTTTAAATTTTAAATCAGATTTTTTTTTTTACTTTTATCAAATTTATTTGAATAAAATGCTTTTGGAGTAAAAAAATCTATCTAGTTTTCTTTTTAAGATACATTAATAATTTAGTTTATTCAGGTTGAAGTGGAGCTTTAGTTATGTAGCATGACGCTGGATATTCTGCAATGTTTACATTTTTGGTAAATTAATTAAATGAATCCAAGCTCCACAATCTGAGATTACACACACTGCCTTGATGCATTCACACAATTTCACAGTAACCCTGAGATAAATCGTAAAACAAAGTTCAGGAATATTCCTTTTTATCCCATTGTTTTGCAAATCTAGGTACACTACAAACTGTATGGTTGTTTGAAGCAGAGGTAGAGTTCAGCAGGTTCTAACCAGTTCTGGAGAACTGGTAGCAGAAATTTTGAGTAGTTGGGAGAACCGGTAGTGGACATTTTGAGTAGTTTGGAGAACTGGGAAATGCCACCTCTGACTGGCCCCGCTCCCATCTCTTCCCTGCTTCCCACTGAGTCCCAGCTGATTGGCTGGGTCTTCTTTGGTTGCCCTGCACAGGAGAACAGAGCTGGAAAGCAGGTTAGTGGGATGGGGAGAGAATGAAGATTTTATAGTATCCTTCCCCTGCCACACCCACCAAGCCATGCCCACCAAGCCATGCCACGCCCACAGAACCAGTAGTAAAAAAAATTTGAATCCCACCACTGGTTTGAAGACAAGCGCATCTATACCACCAGGCTCTAAGTGTGAGGAGCAGTGTATAAATATAGTATTAAAGAGACCTGCCATTTCAGATCCATCATGGCAGCACCTGTTAGCCGGCATCCCCTTACCTGCTGCCTACCACATCCCTCACCTTGTTGTATCACTGCTGCATCACCAGCCATCCCATTAAAGTGAATGAGACCGTCGGTGAGTCAATAGCAGGTCAGAGGATGAGCCGCTGTGGGACGGAGATGACAGTCGCTCATTATAAATCGTGATTTAAATCGAGTTGAATTAAATCAAACCTTTCTACTTGTGATTTAAATCAAACCGATTTAAATCAAATCCACCCTGGAAGGCAATTGCCAAAAAAGGTCGCAAAACACAAGAGGAAATATGGAGAAATATGCATATATGTAATAGAAACAAACTGAACCATTTTCTGCGGATATCGTGGACACATCAGAATGCAGGATGTGTCCTTTTGCACCGAGGCTATTTTTATTCTGGACAGAGAATTTAACACCATTATCCATGGAGGAACCAAAGGTTTTCTCTCACTGACAGCCTGAACCCAACATTGGCCATTGTAATTTTATCATTTAAGTTTTTATGCTTCTCATCTTTGCTGTGTTCCATCACCAGATGTTTTTAAGAAGAGATTAGACATATATTTGCCTGAAATGGTATAATGTCTCCTGCTTAAGCAGGGGGTTGGACTAGAAGACCTTCAAGGTCCCTTCCAACTCTCTTGTTCTCTATTCCGTTATCTCGTAAAGGTACTATTTCTGCTTGGTATGCTTGGGTGTGGGGTTGGACTAGATGACCTACAGGCAGGAGTGGGATTCTACCAGTTTGCACCTATTCGCTAGAAACGGTTGTTAACATTCTAAGCAGTTCGGACAACCAGTTGTTAGAAGAAATTACTGGCCTAATCCTGTAAGGAAGGCAGGAAGGAAACATTCTGGTGTTGCTTACAGAAACTGCCTCTCCATTAAACCTTATTACATTCTTGGCAGGACTAGATTTCCTGTCTCAGGAACATCTCCCCTTCTTTGTTGGTACTTCGCTTGTGTGGAGTGACCATTCAAAGTTACAATGGCACTGAAAAAAAGTGACTTATGACCATTTTTCACACTTACGACTGTTGCAGTCATGAGAGGCCAGGCGAGGAGATGTGTGCCTCGATGTGAGTGACATTGAGTTGGCCACGCCCAGCCAATAACATGACCACCAAGCCACACCCATCCAGTCACATGACCACCAAGCCATGCCCACCAACTAAGCCACGCCCACAGAACCTTTTGAATCCCACTCCTGCCTACAAGGTTCCTTCCAACTCTGTCAATCTGTATCTGAGTTTACTACTGTTGGATGCATCCATATATACAGATTTGTTTTATGTACTACATTAACATCTGTTTAATGTAAAGATCAAAACCGCAGAATCGAAGCCTGTAATTTAAATTGCAGTAAACAGCCAAGGGAGGAATATTATATATTATTACCGTGAGAAACAAAGAAAGTGTGGAAGATCAGTTGCAAATGTAATTCCAAAGACTGATTCACGAATCACATGAGCTGCCTTGTTTTGCAAAGACAACCGTTGTGCTTATAATCAAACTGGCCATGGAATTGATCATAGACAACAGTAACTTTTTGTCTGAGACCACAGAGGGTTAAGAGAAATCTAGTCAACATGGCATGGACCCAGGGCTCCTTTTCTCCCAAAAACTCAGTAGGGTGGAGAAGGGGAAGAGAAGTGGGGACTGATAGAAATGAGCTACAAAAGCTGTGCTGTCATTCTGGGCAGCAGTCCAAGAATTAAATATACGAGATGCCAAATGCACAGAACCGCCTGCTCGATTAGGGAGAAACATGGAATAGCAAAAATGCCACTGCAGTCTTGTACATGTAAGGGTGCAGCCTTCAAGATTGCATCCGAAACGCTAGCTACCTAATATGCAGATATAATTTTAGAGTAGTGTGAACCACTTTAGTAGCTACATTCAGTTCAACTGATGTTTCAAAAGAAGGCATCCTTTCTTTTTATTTTTCTGCCACGTGCTTATGGACAACCATTTTTAAAGTTTAGAAGTGTGCTGCAATTTATAACCAGCGATATCATAGATGAAGTGCAGAATAAAGTCAACAGAAATAGTTCCTTAATAAAAGGAACTATTTAATTGCCTGTGAACTTACATATAAGAGCACTCTATAGCTAAAACTTCTGTGTTAGTAAACACCTTTATTCAAGAGACACCCAGGAGAAGTCCTGCAACAGAAAATCTTAACGTGAGGGTAGACTGACGTGAAACTAATAATGATTCACTGTCCGGTATTTGTAACCCAAATTGTTTATTGATTATTTGAAAATTAAGAACCAGTTCCTTGCATTGGGCCTTCAATGCACAATTTAATTCAGTGTCAATGAAGTTTAAAATTGATACAATATTCACAAACATGGCCATATCTGTAAATATTTTGCTCACTCTATTTTGAATCCTTTGAAGTATTTATTTGTTTGCTCAATTTATCTAGCCACCCAACCTACATGACAATAGTTTACAACAATTTTTTAAAAACTACAAATAAACCTCCAAATACAATCATAAATACATAAAAACGTATACAAGCACTGTAAACCATTTACCAAAATTCCCAGCCAAGCTCTAATGAACAGTCAAGATGATCCCTGTATAGACCATCCCCACATTGGGGGCAAACTGATGTCTTTCTAACACTTTAAGGCTTTGTGGAAGATCTTTGAATGGCCTTCAAGGGCAGACCCAACTAAAGGACATTGCAGCAATCCAAACAAAATATAAAGCATCATGTCTGGAGCATCGCTCTCGCCTGAAATGGTCATAGCTATATGAAAGATCCCTGGGTATTCAACATCACGAGGCTTTTTATGATAATGATGGATGTCATAAAAAATTAGCAAAAATTAGTACTTTATGATGGTTGTCATAAAGATTAGTACTTCAACATTACTCCATCTTTTACAACAGGGAACAATAGATCTTTCATCGAATCCATTGTTCTGCAACCTTATCAACTTTTCAAAGTGTGGATTTAAAACTCCTTGAATTCCCTAACCAGCATGTTGGCTGGGGAATGTTGAGTCTTAAAATCCATGCATCTTAAAGTTAACAAGGCTGAGAAACTCTGATCTTCTCACAGAGCAGACTTTTGATTTGAGCATTCGGTTAAATGAAAACAGGAACCAGAGAAGAAAACAAATTGGCCCGTTATTTTTAAAGCAATAACTTTGTTAGTCCTAACCAGGTTTTGGACTTCCTCTTACCAGCTCTTATCTTAAATAAGCTGGTTTACTGAAGAATTAATCCCCCTGAATTTAGCATGACTTGCTTTATGTCCAAGATGGCTTACAGCATTCATTAATTTATATATATATAAGTGAAAAGCACGCATGCATCATGACAAAATCTCCAGAACCATAAAGCCTACAAACTTGAAATTTGGCACTATGTTCCTCTTGGCTCTAGGGGTTCACTAAGAAAGGATTTTTCGAAATGACCATCTGAGCACTAATATTTCCTATATTATTATTAACACGCTCTGATGCTAAGAAGTTCTACTCCCCCTCCCCACCTGAAAAGAAATCTGTTCCAAATGCAAAACACAAGCAGAGAAGAGGAGTTTCAATTTCAGAGCAGCAAGCAGCTTTAGTACAGAATAGTTGAGCTAAGCCACGCCCAGGCTCCTTGCTGTCTCCTTCTTGCTCACACAATACTATTTCAGTTTCCAAACAGCCCTCAACTCTCACACACTGACAGGATGCTAGCCAGATGAATACGGATGGATGCTGGTACACAGAGGCACATTTCCCCCCCCATATTTTCCTCCCAAAAAACTAAGCCCGATCACACAGTTTCATAGCAAAGCATGGATATAGAGCTAGTACAGTAATAAGATTATCATCTTCGGTTTATTACTGCATTAATTATGAAAATGAAAGAAGGGGAAACATCCATTAACCAATATTTTTTCTTCTCCAGAACTATTATTTTTTTAATTCTTTTCCACCTCATGCACCAGTCCCATAGGAGTTTCACAAAGGGAAGGATGACTTGGTCCCTAAAGCAGGAAGATGCTGTCATGGTTAATTCTAGGCAATTACCTTTGTCATTAAGGTGTTTGTGCAGTTTTTTTCATACTGGAAAGAGGCACGGCTACACTCTTAGGTTAGCCACACAG